TACCCATCGTGACAATTTAGAAAATCAAAACTTCAGTAAACAAGTGTTAATGAAAAGCAAAGCATTTATTGCCGGCGGAGCCGATGGAAAGATCATAAATTCCTCCCATTACTAGTCAGGTGCAACCGCATATTTAGGTAAATTCACAAAAAGCTGACTACCGACTATTCTCGCCAGCACTTTTGTATGATGGTAGCGGCCTCTGTACGAGTCAAGTGCCAAATGAGTGAAAATGGTTTTTGAGGATGTGACTTCCAGTATTCAGTGACCCAATAAATATCTTTCAGGCTCTTTACAGTATTAATAAGCTCCGGTTTTGCATGATTATTTCGGTATAAATCAAGTGTTAGGTAGTCAAGGTCATTAAAAGAGGAATGAGGTGTCCGAAAGGCCCAACAATGCATTACAGCTAGTGTTTGATTTGGTAAGTCCTATTCGTGCATAAACGTAAAGGCCAGCACAGTGTTAAATTTTGGATTTTCATCTGCCCTCAATGTCGCTTTTTGGTAAAATAATGGCGTAAAATATTCTTTACAGCTGCGACTGAAATCCTAAATTAACACTAATAATGAATGCATGAGTAGCTATTTCAAACTCTACTTAACTACATAGTAAATACTTGTTGTTGCTGCTGTTCAATTTTACTCGATGCTCATAACCCAATTTTCTAAGAAGAAATACATTGTTGGGTATTCATAGATAAGGAGTAGATGTTGACGGAATGAAAACGTTTGCCAGAAAAAAAATCTTTTGCTACGACCTGGATCAATAGGCGAAGTAAAATTGGTTCAATCGTTGTAAGCAAATGCAGCTTAGTGTATTCAAGAGGCATGGTTAAGTCAACTACTTAGTAAGGTGAAAGGAATGATTTACCGAGGCAGTCTTTAGGTGAATTTGGACTTTCGTGATTGGTAGGCTCTTGTAATCTTTTGCATATTTTTAAGAGAATGTCCTCGAGAAAAAACAAAGATATTAGCCATGGTGTTTAGTTAGCTATACCTTAACAGCAGATTGCGTTTGTTAACACAGGCAAAATAACAGGCTGTACGCAATTTTAAAGTTGTTGCGATTTTTTTTAGACAACAATAAAAGCCATGC